CAGGACCTGAGGTCCTTCTGCGTACTTGGATTGCGACCTCCGGTCGGAACCAATCAGATCAATCAACTCTCCACATTTAGACCCTCAAGCGCAGTGTCCATTCTGGAAATAGGCGCTTTGATTGGACGGTCTGGTGGCCGCAACACATCAATGGGGCAAAAGCGACAGAAGGACCTCAAACACATCGGGCGGCCGCAACATTCGTAGGGCGGCGTCAGTGGGGAGGTCCTTCATTTCTGCTGTTCACCTGGTTCCTTCACTCATGCGCAACTGCGCAACTGCGTAACAACGTATTTCACGTCAAAACATCACTTCATAGCACCGCGCGCTTCTTAGATGCAGTCGACTTCACGAGCATCTATCAGATTACCTTCATTCAAGCAATGAAGGGAACCAACAAGAGGCGGCACGGTGCCACGTTACGATGCGATACGTTGGTTGACTAAACAGCACAGAATCCGATTACCAACGAAGACTCGAAGAAACATTCTTCAAATTCCGTTTTACGATCTCACTGTCACCGTCCGATATGAATCCAACTCTTCCTCGAACGCCATAGTACCATCGCTTCCCCAAACGCCAACTGTCCGACTCGCATGCTCGGCAAAACCGCTCGCGAGCAGGTCCAACATCGATATATACAAACAAGAGAACGGATGCTGCGATTAAGCATGTTCACGGCTGACAGTCATGGCTGGCGGTGTCGGAGCATCTGCCGAATCGCCCAATTGTCTAGCGATGTGGGGAATCCGTCTCCCCACATTGTCCATGTCACCTTCGTCCCGTTCAGGACGCCCTTGTTGCGGTTCGATACCAGCGCCTGACGCTTGATAAGGCGGTGGCGGGTCGTTGAAAGCACCTAGCTCGTAGTAATCCTCGACCGGACCTGGAGCATCGGACGGAAGGGCCGCACCGGGTGCAGCGCCAGCTAGCACGAAGTCAGCTCTAGTGACGGCATGGCATGCGACGTACAACATGAAGCAAGGCATGAATCGTCAGCCACATACAAGCTTGTCTAGCAGCACGCTCCTGCCATTTCACGACACACAGGTAAACGCCGGTGATACAGGCCCCAATTCCCGCCAATAATCCTACTGCTCCAACAGTATATTTCCACCACAGTACCTCGTCTTCGATCGGCTGCACGTACGAGCCTGGAGGTAGGACGGTGCCGTTGCCTTGGTGGGGGCGGGTGCCTAGCGGTGACTGTCAGCTGTGCGTGAGGCCTCGGACGTCATCACCGAAGCGCATCCGCTGCATCTGACAGAGTCTGGTTCAATTCACTTACCGTCAAAGGCAACCAAAAATCGGGTGAGGACCGGCATGTTGATGTCTACACATGTTTTAGAGGTTGTCGTCATCGTTGGGCCTCGACGAGAGAAACCCCGCACGCACCCACATACCTTGGCTTGAAGAAGATTCGACTCTATTGCGAGGTTGTTGGCGGTCTTGGATCAGACGAAGTATGCGATATTGATCAACGCACCTCACACTGTGTCCGTACGGTAGCAACGCTGGGGAGAAAGGAGTTGGCTTTCCACCAAGGATGGCGGCGGTGAAGCGCTCAGCCCTAGGCGGGCCACGCTCATTCGTCGCACCCCCTCACCACGCCAACCTACTTCGCCAACACAACGCACACACGAGAAAACTTGCACAGCGTAATCTTCCTCGTGAGATCGAGCCGATACACAGGTCTGTATTGTATTGCGAAATATGGGACGAACGTGGGCATAACCCACGGTTTACCGCAAGGTTCCGCCTATACCCCAACACCTTGAAGCCGTGAGCTGCAAACCCACAATAAACAAGGCAACGGTCCAGAAGCCACCTTAAATGCGGCGAATGCCGCGCAGCAGCCAACATGGCGTTGTATGCAGCAGCACCCCTCCAAAGTACACGTGCTGGTGCTCAAGGACGGCTATTGTTGAGCGCTAAGCAGCCTCGAGATGTGCACTGTGTTAGTATATCCGTTCCCATATGTAAAAGCGCATCATTTTGTGACGACAGCGATGTTTGTTCGTCGCTTGGTAAGTGCATATTTGGAGACTGTGAGAACCATAAGGCTTATCAAGACGCTCATGCTCTAGCCCAACTTGCTAGACTACTATGAATAAACATCAGTCAGCCGTATAGAAATTCAACTGCTTGTCTCATAATGCAATGATTAGAATTCCGTGAAAACGCCCGCTTGATTCGCAACGGCTGACGCTCGTCCGTTCAATTACCTGACTTGTGATCAACGCCAAGCCGCCACTTACCTGTCGCAAGCAGCACCCTCATTCCCAGGCCGAATCTACTCTACGTGATGTAACTCCACTACCACTCATACAATAGCCCTATGGCGACGCAGCGCATGCGCAGGCGCGATACAGTACATATCGCTCCGTCCCTATGGGTAACCCGCAACGTCGCGATCCCGAGTGCTCGTCGCTGACAAACTGAAAGTGCGACACGAATACCTGCGATGAGCCACGACCGACGCCTCTATCCTGCTACTGATCAACCCTTGCCTTCAGCAGACGATACCGGCTATCCAACACAGACCACACACGAACATGAAAGCCCCACAGGGCGATTATGGCACAGCTACGCTGCCTACGATGAAAGACAACCTGGCTTTACGGATGAACCTCGGTCTCCACTAAGTACTACATCGGTCTATGCTTCGGGACAGGAGCTTTGGAGTCTCCAGAGGGAACTCAGTTCTTTGCCATCATTTCTCGACCTAGAGACTCCTAGTTCCGCCCCACAATATACGAACGATGTAGCTATCGATCAGCAAGACCTATATCCTCCGCATCTGGAAAGTGCGGAGGATTGGTCAGAGAATATATCAGATCCTGCATCGCAAGCGTTGCAACAACATGATCATCATTGGGAAGAGATGTCCAATCTAACAGTGAGACCACTCGATCCCGCGCAATTGGACTTCGGGTTGTTCGACAATGCATATCAGCGTACCCTCCGGGAGGGCTCGAATCGACATTCTGCTCAGACTCAGAATCAAGAGCCCCCGTGGCCGTATTACGTTAACCAACAACCCCCGGAGTCGATGCATGGGTCTGGGGTATTCGTGACGCCCAATTCTGCTCAGCAACTTGGCGACAACGAAGACTTTCGGTCGTTTGGTCAAATCAAGCCTATGGATATAGCCGCTCCCGATACTTCTAGCCCTGCAGGATTCCACACTCTATGGTGTCCATCGTGTCCTGCAACGTTTGAAGGACTTTATAGAAAAGGAAACCTCGCTCGACATCGGCGGCTCAAACATAAAGGTCCTGTGGTGTATGAGTGTGAGGACGACCACTGCGACAGAGTTTTCCATCGTCAAGACGCCCGCCTGAAGCATTACCGCACGTGGCATCATCACTTAGCGTCTGGTCCTGCTTTTCGCCGCAGAAGTCATCAAAATCAGAGCGACTACAATATAGGCAGTGATACCCACGAAGCCGGAGATGCAAGGCTTGAAACCCTATCCTCCATGTCCCAGCCGCAATATGCAGACTCAACAGTCTATATGGATACAACACCATCCACACCTACGATAGTCACAAGTGGACCAAGCACTGAAGCACTTCGTAAAGATGGCGAAAACGTTCGATGTGACATCTGCCAGAAAGGGTTCAACAGAGCTGCCGAACTGCGCAGGCACAAAGATTCCGTTCACAACTTGAACCCACCACAATACTTCTGCGCGGTGCCTGGGTGCGATCGCGCATCAAGGCCTTTCCCCCGCAAAGACAAATTGGCAGATCACACAGCAAGAATACATGGTCAGTCAACCACGTCAAAGGCTTTCGAACACGGTGAAGAGGTCTCAGAGGCCACATATCGCTGTGACTATGAGGGTTGCGAACGAGAATTCGATCAGAGAGCAGATTTGCTACGCCACCAAAGAACCCATACAGATGAGTCTGAGCGACCACACAAATGTACGCAGTGCGAGAAGTCGTTTTTATACCCGAAGGATCTCAAGCGTCACCAAGCGACCCATTTGGACAACGAGGATGATGGCAAGCCGACGTTCCATTGTGAAGTCGCTTCATGTGAGTACGGCCCTGGAAAACAAGGCTTCTCGAGAAAGGATGGAATGCTCCGCCATATGAGACGTTTCCATCCGGAACTTAAGCGCGAAGCTCCTGAAGATTTTGGAAACGAACCTGGTGGTCCCTTCCAGGATGCCAAACGCGCCCGCGCCATATCCACAGACCAAGAGCCAGAGCCTACGATTGTCACGCAGCCTATAAAGGCCGCGCTACGTACAAATCGCCGTACAGGCTGCCCAGGTCAGGATTGGAAATGCAAACCTAAGGAGCTGAAGGGAAGACGATATTGGACTTCTTTCAACCAATTCTGCCGACACTTTCTGATGTATCATTCAGGAGACTATTTGGACAAAGGCTACCGTTCGCAGTGCAATTTATGCGACCACGACTCCTTTGGAGCGAGTGGACATGACCTGGCACGACATTTATGGGATACCCATTTACAATAAGAAGTGTTTCTTGGACGCGCTCTGATTACTTCGGTCTTATGTTTAAGGTCTTCATTATATACCTTATCGCCATTGATCTGGGATCACTGTGTGCTCTTAGTCTAATAGTACAAGGTGGAGAGCTTGGGTGGCATGCGCGATATACTAATAACAATACTTATCCAATCTTCGCTCTCTTAAATGCTACCCTTACAGCTCTGTCGTATTTTCGTACTTGGCGCAGGTGCGAGATCTTCGAGGTCCAGCACCCAACTTTTCTATCTTCATCTGCGAAACCAAATTGGATTGATTTTAGAGTACATGACATCGATGGTATCTCTGATGGCAATAGTGGAGTGTTGCTTGAACTGGCGCCCACCGGATACAGCTAGTCCACCTCAGGCCACCCCATCGTTGCCTAGCTGCTGCCTGAAAGGTTCACCATGTTGGCTTGGCGCGCAGCGAGTATATGTATACGATTCGCATTCATTCGAGATTCCGAGAACGTCAGGAAACAAATCCAATCATGACTAGCACAGCGGCACCACAGCTTCGGCGTTCGAAGCGCAAACAGGCCGAGCAAGCCGCCAAACCAGTGGCTGACACCGCCAACGACGATGCGCCACCACCTAGGAAACGTGCACGTAAAGCTGTCGCATCTACGACGGAACCTCCTACCATCAAGAGTGTTGATAGGAAAGTCGATGAACGCGATACGGATATCGTACCCATAGAGTCACGGCAACATAACTATACTTTACCCCCATTCCTCGCTCTCCCACGAGAACTACGAGACGAAATCTACAAACACATCCTAAACTCCGACCGCTCCTCAAAACTAAAATCCGGCTCCCGTAACATCGTCACCCGCTGCGGCCTCGTCGGAGTAAACAACCAAATCTCCGCCGAATTCCTCGACGCAGTCCTCTTCCACGCCCCCGTCATCACAACAGTCGTCCGCAACCACAACTTCGCACCCGTCGTCACCTTCCTAAACCGTCTATCTCAAGCCCAGCTAAAGCGGCTGAGCAACTACCCAGAATCACAGGCTACAGGAGTAGACGACGACGACGACGATGTGAGAGCAAAGCGCAAGATCAGGATTATCCTGAGTTACTCGGCGGGTGCAAAGGATAGTCGTGCGCATCTGAATCGCTGGCTAGACCGCTTTGATAACCCGGATAAGAGGGGTAAGGAGATTGAGTTCGAGTATGGTAATGACGGGACGTATGGGAATGGGGGGTACAAGCAGCGACCTAGGTCACGGGAGAAAGCAAGTAAGAGGTGGAATGAGGAGGCGAGAAAGATTCTGATGAACGCTGGTAGGAGGGGATGGTGGTGAGACGGGGAGTCATGGTGTATGGATGCACTCGTGGTACGCCAAGTCGACATTTAGAAGTGTCTTTGATGGTCGAGATGTAGCTGGGTGTTGAGATGGATTGGCCGAGGTGGCTTGGAACATGTCTGAGCGGTTTGCCAGAGACGGGTCTGGGACTTTGAACTAGGACAAGGAAGATGTTTGAAATCGAATACTTGCACTCAAGGCGAGAAGTGCCAGGAGACATGGTCGGCAGCCGTCTCGTAGGGGGGACGCATATTGCCGAGGACATGTATTGCACGTGATCATCTAGAGAGCATCCAGACTCCGTGCATCTAGATCCATAGCATGGCAAGAACCTCGTGTATGCGCCGCTTTAGCCGAAAGTCGCTTCAACTAAAGCAGTCCGTCATCTGCATATAGCGACGGAGGCCCAAGCACCGATGCTTTTCGCCCTAGATTGTGTCGAGGTTTCTAGTGATGAACAATACACGGCTGATGCGCCGCCCGCACTGTCAAGAGTCGCAATGCCTTGTAGGCGACGCTGCTAGCTTGAAACTTTGTTCGGTGAACGTGCCAAGCGTGCAGTAGTCCATAGCCAAAGCGACTGCATGCTCGTATATGTACTCAACACTAGTGCCGGATTCAGGGACATGTTCGCAAAGCCTAGAACAGGGGAGTTACTATTCGGTATGTGCCGGATCAGCTTCTCCCAAGACACAAGAGTAAGGCGCAGGAATTGTGCCTGTCGATGATATACGCGCCCGCACCTAGGCGTCGCAGGATGACGTGCGTAAAAGGCATCTCGCGACACGCCAAAACTGGTCGTCGGGTCGATTGTGCCACGACGTCAGGGCGGGCGTACGCCGCAGAACAACATAAAGGGGTGCGCGCGTGCGTTCCTTTTTTGCTGTCGGCAGCTGTCCTAGGCGACGCAGCACGTGGACGGATGTACACTCGATCTAGGCTTTGGTCCGCTGCATGCCCTGCCCTGCACATACTATGATTCTTATCGACGGGTATTTTCCTTGCATCCAATGACCATTCCGCATCGGCAGTAAGAAAATATATTGCGACGCCGTATGTGTGTGTGCAAAGACTGTCAAAGTCTCCGTTCCTGCGCGCGCGCGCGCACGCGCTGGTCTTTCAATATGCACCCCAGTCTCGTGTGACCATTTACCCGGGATGCAAGAAAGTGTTTGCATCGCGGCTCATGAAATATGTGAGGTAAACTCCGATGTTCCGGAACGTTTTGAAATTATCCTAGCTGGGGCCCAGCACTGAAGCGAGAGGTCAGCCAGTAAACGCCAGCGTGATAATAGATTAATCTTCCGCGAAAACATGTTTCTGCCACGAGGGCGGGGAACCGGTGCGCGCGTCGTACACAATATGCGAAAATTGATGAGGGAGGGGAGCAAGGGCAAGAAAGTTTGGAGGCCGAGCTAGGACTACCGCAAGGGTGCCAAATTAGTAGCATTGATGGGCAAAAAGTATTGCTGCTTAAGAACTGGCGGGATCGTCCTGTCTAATGCATTTGCTTCTTCTTTGTGCTGTTGTTGCGTCGATCAAAAACTCCTTTGAATCCTTTATCACATTTGGAATCATCTTGCTCCGTTGCCAACAGTTACAGAGACTCGGTACCTTCGACACTATGAAGCTTTCGGCTATTATCGCGGTCGTCGCCGCCTCGGTTGCGCTTGCATCGCCCGCAGCAGTGAGAAGTCTGGCTTTACCTGGAGGTTCCCCCAGCTAATCGATGGCGCAGGTCAGTCTTGAACGATCCGTCAAGGAAGTCAGAAATGCGGACGGCACTGTTGCCTCAGTCACCTGCGTTGAGTGCCCTTGTGATGGCTTCGCTGGGACATGCAAATGCGTATGTATCCCCTTTCCATTGGCAGACCATCAAGCTGATTGATTCAGATTCCCAACGGATGCTGCTGCATTACTTGAGCAAAACACAGCTTGACGAGACGATTTTTCTTTGGCATATTTGGCGTTCTTGACTACTATACACTATGTCTACATATTTTTGCAATCCAAAAAAGCGAAAAGATGGGGTGAGCGGAGAGGCGCCCGCGAAAGAATCGGATGCTCGCGCATAGTATAGACGTTTAGGGCGTAATACGTATTGGCGTAGTTCCGTCTTCTTTCCAATTCTACTTCGCTGCGCCTGCTTCGACGTTCTTTTCCGCCTCTTCTTTTTCTTCTTCTGGTCGGATCCACTTGCGGAAACCAATGGTCATGATGCCACCAATAGCAACCTGAAAAGCCTGGAAGATGATCGCAGGTATCTGCATCTTCGACTGATCGACCGGATCGATGTTGATGTACATGACCGACGTGAGGGGGACAACCATAGCAAGAGCCTTTGCCGGGCAACAATAACAGCATGCAATAACATCCTTCTTCGGCAACCACAAAGTAGCGGCTGTGAAGCATATGGCGAGCCATATAAAGTACAGCGCGATTGTGATGAAGACGATGAAGATGATGTTGGACGGCTTCACAGCCTCAAACGCACCAGAAGAAAACGCTTGATCGAAAGTCTGCCACACCATCGTGAGAAGCGCGATTGACGAAAGCTTGAGCAGTTTCCACTCGAAGAACACTTTCTTCGTCATCTTGGGGAACAGGCGTTGTACAATCTGTCCGACTAACATTGGAAGAAATAGCGACAGGCCGAGTTGCATGAAGACACGCTGGTAAATGCCGGCGTAACCAGAGCCGCGCTGGAGAACCTTGCTATACCACGATCCCGTAGAAAGATACATTTGCAGGATGATGGGCGTCAAAAAGGGACAGAGGAATTGGCCAATGACGGATTGAACTACCGTGAGTGCCGCGTTTCCATGAGCTTGTCTCGTCATGACAACGTTGCTGGACATTGTTGTAGGTGCGCTGCCGACGAAAAGGAAGCCGATCAGTAGCCATGGGTCCATGAAGTTGGGATTCGTCGCACATAGGCTGACAACGGCAAAGGTGGCTGCTGAACAGACGAGGTAGCATTGTAGTTGGACGAAGATGTGTAGCTTCCAGCGCATGTAGTTGGCGAGCATGACCCGTGTGTCCAGTGTGCAGCCGTTGATGAAGAAGATGACGGAGACTGCGAGGTATGTGACTACCGTCCGCTTTGTGCGCTGCTGTGAGGCTGGGACTTGGACTTGGGACGAAATGAGGACTACGGCGCCCATTGCGAGGAGGAACCATTGGTCTTTGACGAACCATTTCAAAATCTCCAAGGCTTTTGCATGCTTGGATGTCTTCTTCTTAATGGTCGGCTGATCACCTTCGGCGTCTGTTTGAACGTTTTCGAGAGGCTCAATAGGGTTTCGAGGTTCCAGTGTTGGCGGTCCGGTGTTGATGGAATCCATATTCGATGCTTCTGCGATGCGCTCTTCTGGTGTTGTCCCTCCGCTGCTTTCCATCGACGACCGGTTCGAAGGTGTCGCCGCTGTTCGTAGTTCGATGTCATTGTGCTTCCCCATCATGGAAGCTATCTGTGCCTGCTCGGACGTCTTACTCCCGATACTCACAGCATGCTCTGCAATGCGTCTTGGCCTTGAGATATGTGACTCTTCGGTAATATGACGGACGTAATCATGTAGCCGATTTGGCGTAGCCCGACGCGGGGACTTTACCCCAATGGTGCGGGGACGGGTAAACCCGGATCTCTACCAATGTTCTGACGAAACGACTGTCGTGCATCGTGAAGAGACAGTCTTGAGAAAACAATCTACGGGGTATCTAACAAAGTTGACATGGAGGGAGGTAGGTTGTACATGACGAGGCGGTCCGGTTAGTCAGCGCCAGGGCCGACATGCCCCCGCCCTTTGTTACGCTGCACGACGCAGACTCCACACATTGTCGTTCGCTTTTCCAGCATCACACATCACGTATAACCAGGCTTATAGCCGCACTTCGCTCGCTTCCGGTCTCTCCCAATGACGGCCCCTGCTTCTCCCGATGCCGACTCCAGCAGGAAGCTGATATGGGCACGCGTATACCAAGACCTCATCCAACACGCCATTCCCGACGCGCGCTTCAACTATGACTTCATGTCCTTCACCCCCGACTTCCGAGGCTCGGCCTCCGCAATCGACCGCCTAGTCTCCCTGCCATGTTATCAGTCGGCTAGCGTCATCCTCGTTACGCCCGACAACAGCCTCGAACAACTGCGATACAGAGCCCTGAAAGACGGGAAGAGGGTCTTGGTAGCGACATATAGGCTACGCAGAGGTTTCGTACTACTGCATCCCGGAAGGATCAGCGAGTCCAAGTACGAGATGGCTGCATGTCTAGACGGCATGGAGAAACCGGGGATAGGGAGAGCGGTGTCGCTTTCGCAGATGCGGGATGAATGCCTCAAGGTAGACATGTGCGCTATCGGGGGTCTCGTCTTCAACGCGCAGGGCGTGACGATATGGGAGGGTCACAATCTATTCGAGGTGCAGTGGGCTATGCTGCAGGATTTGAAGGTACTGCAGCCCAATACCCCCGTTGTTGCTGTCGCACACGCGTGCCAGGTGGTCGACGAGGCACAACTGGGTGTGGAGAAGGTAACACCAACGACGTCGGGAGAGGTACAAAGCGACTTTGTCGTTACGCCAGATGCACTGTACGAGGTGGCTGGCGCGGTGAAACCCACCGGTGCCCTGGACTTTGATACTGTAGATCCCGAGGGCATACAGAACATCCCCCCACTACAAGAGCTCAGAGGCATTCGCATGATGGAGCAAATCATGCAACGGGAGGGCTTTACTTCTGCAAAGGAAGAGAAGCCAGAGAAGCCACCTTCTGCAGACGAGCAGATGGGCATCAGCATTGTAGAGAAGCTGATGCAAGGTTACCGTGCGTGAGGACGTCACTCCCCATAGCCACCCACGTAGTTACAATATAGGTAAGTTTTGTTCGTGAAACACGACAAGATACTAAGTTACAAGGTATATCCACGACGAGCATGCGCCCTCTAGGAGAATTAAAGATTAGAAACCAGTTTATATACACATCAAACCCTCATGCAACAAAGCATCCTCCAGGACTCTTTGCGAAGCTGCTTGTTCTTGTAACACTCACTCAAATCATGCATATGTTCCCTACACCCCCGCTTTCCAACAACTCAACCCAGTAACCCTACCCATCTTCCCTCCATCTACAACAACCCTCCCCTTGCCCATCCTCACGACCACCTCCTCACTCCCCCATCCCAAACTTGCCTTACACAGCACACCCCTATCATCCTTCTCTACCTCTTCTCCTGCCAGGTCCTTTCCCGATTCTACTCCAGTGACCTCGATGGCCTGGACATGCTCCGGCCGTGTGCTTAGATCGAGGGATACATCGATGGGTATATGTATCGACCACGCGTTGCCCGATGTAGATGTGAACGTGGAAAGTTGTGGGCTTTGCGCCGAACCGATTGTGTAGTGTGATGGTGATCCGATGAGGGCGAGGGAGACGAGCGGGAGGGCTTCAATTGATTGGGACGTGGGTAATGGCGCAGAGGATGCGAGAGCGACAAGTGTGATGAATGTGAAGATGGTTTCCATGTTGTGCTGGGCTGACGCGCGAGATTCCGCGTCACGGTTTTGGATGTCTGTCGCTGGAAAGACGAGTTCGCGATGCGAGTCGTCTAGAACCTTGGACAAGTATCGGACCGATGAATGCACTCAAGAACCTTGGTATCGTAGCACGATGCGCTGCATCACGTCTCTGGTAACAGTCAACCTGCCTCCCTCGTAAAGTATATACACCCCACGTCCCCTAACCACGCCGCATTCCTGCCTCCCCACCCACGAAACGTACTACCAGTGGCACAGCAAAATGCGGCGGTTGCAGAATTCAAGACTCCAATCGAAACAATTTACGCCACACCCGCCTTGCCCAGGCGGCAGTCACTCGGCCACACTTTTCGCGGGAGCGCGGAGATTTTCTTTCAAACGTGTTGGTTGGGCGGCTGCGGGGGTTGGTTAGCCGCTAGGATTTTCTGGGGCGGGCGCTCGTGCTTGTGTGGATGGGTGTGCGGGCGTGGGATGCGTCGAAATCTGACTGCGCCGCATAGGCGCATCTGTGTGCATGCATAAAAGAGATAAGCAATGTGCAGGCGCGAAAAAGGAAGGAGATCGCTCGGAAGAAAGAGACACTATTGTGAGGATCTTTCCGGGACCTAAGGGGTGTGGTGTGAGGCTGTACTGTGGAGATAAGGGAAAAAGGAATATGGATGCTTATGAAAAGCACTGATATCTTTCAACAAACACTTCTTGGTGAACTGCTAAGAAAAGATCCGTGTAGCGAAATGTACTTTGCTCACGATAACAAAGTGCAAGGCTAGTCTACTGGATTCTGTGCAAGGCGACGTTGATGCTATGCTTCTTGCGTGCACTGCACTGTGTCAAAAGCATGTACCTAGGCGGTATGGCCTAAGAGATTGCCAGCTCAATCGAGACAAGCAAACTTGTCTTGTTCTGGCTTTGATGCTCGTCCCTATTTTGGTAGTCGTCTCAGCTGCATCGAAGAACGCATTCGGACTAGGAGGCTGCGGGTGGTCCTCCGACTCGCCGTGTTGCTGGACGGTACAGAGGTACATCGCACAACATGAAAACTTTGTTACTGCATATCGCCTACTTACTGCAAGCGTTGATCGTTTGAAACATGATCAATATTCTCGCACGAGTGAGATTCTTCTGAACCAGGAGCGTCTGCCGTGTCAGATGCCGATGTAAGGACCTCGGAAGTCAGCGCAAACTGAAGAATATAACCGTAGGGCGTTCCTGGAAGTGGACACCTGCTTACATTTTGCTCAAGCCTGGGTGCGGTGTTGCGGATGTCATCCTGAAAGACTGAAGATCAGCGGTAACCCAGTACATCGTAGGAACATTGCAACCGATCGCATGGGTTGTGCGACAGATGCGTCAACCACGGCTTGAAAGGGGTGCAGCGAGTGCGAGTCCGAAAAGCTCTTTGTTGCGCAATTCTGAACAGAGGTCGGCCTGTTCTCCGACTTTGGATACGGTTTCGCCATCATGACAGCAGAACTCTACTCCAGGAGTTCTTTCCGTTCCGTAGTTGGGCTTTCGCTCGGGGGCCTGGTAACGTTCCCCGACATTTTGACAGAAAGGTACCAGGCGGGAAGGACGTTGAGCTGAGGCCAATTAACGTTGCGAGAGCCGGACAGGCGTCCAACCGGGCAATAATAGGTGCGGAGTTGTTTCCAGGAACTCGGAAGTGCTGCGCAACCCTGATGCCCGCGACGGTCATGTCGCAATCGTCCCTTGGAATTCGCGGCTCCACCTCTTGTAGTATGACCCATTCAGGTCTTGCAAGCAAAACTCAACGACGTGGTAAACTGCGATACCCTTGCTGAGATATCTTGCCGTCTTCTGGTCGTCGGCATAACCGAGGAACAGTTGCCAGGCAAGCCATTGACATATCTTCGGACAATTGACCGTTGCCGTACAACTATATTCTAAGCATGGGTTTCAGCTTTGCGAACCATGGTCGTTCGTGCGACAGACTCTGCGTCCAAGACGCGATAATAGCGCTGTGGATGATGCAAGTTTGGAGCCAAATCCAGGTCGTACAGTGCCTCCATCAAGTGCCGACGGCCACGATAACGAGTCAGTCAGTGCGCTAGGTACTCGTGAAACCCTGCGGTATATGTGCTTAAGCCGAGGCTTCTAAGTAGTTTGGCGACATCCTCTGGCTATTGCATTGAACGCCATCAGCCATGGTATGTCATGGCAGGAATAAAGGTAAAGTTTAAGAACAGCCGCTCTGTGCAAACCTGTCAGTGAGGATCAATGCAGGTTCAGGAACCGTCCGGCTTGTGGATACAAGTTCCCGCGCTTAGCACTGCAGAGCACTTCCCCATCGAGAAAAACCGGCAGTGAGTCGTAGAATAGTCGAAACCAACGGTTAAAGACATACTGCGCGATGATGCTGCCGATCAGCGGCGACAGCTGGCAGCTCCGAGGAGCCTGGATTGGAGGTTGCTAGCGTTCATTGTCTGTGTAGAAACTAGCCAAGAAGCGGAAGGCACGGAAGATGGAGCCAGTGCAGCCCTTACAGGATTTTCGGTGACTAATCCCAAACATGGTTAGTTCTCACGTGGCCGGTCAACATCGCGAAACTCGATTGAGCGGCACGCGTCTAGGCACCTCCAAAAGCACGACATGGAGCATCACTGCCGTTACTCAAGCCGCTCTTTTGAGTTTTGCTACTGCAAGCTTCCTTTGAGTAGTGGTGGCGTCTCAGACCTATGCAAATATACCAATGTCATCCCTACTCAGCGGCCTGCGAGACGCTGGTGCGCGCTGATCGCCTACTCCTACTTCCGTCATGTCCGTTTACTTTCAATGGACAATCTCGTTTACGGCAATCATTACTACTGCCGTCAGCTTCTACGCGTCCCCAGCTAGCCCTGTCAACGCATGAACGACTTCGCCAAATCCATAGTTCGAGGTCCTAGCTCCGCGGGAAAGCGACCCTCTTGGTAATGGTGTCTCCCTGAAACGGACCAGACCCTGGAATGAGTGCTGGGAGCCCGCCCGTAGACCCACATCTCTCGTGGCGGCACTCATTATGCGGTGCCCTCTATAGCTCCACCGTGCTTGTTCGGTAAGGAATCCAGCTACGTAAAAGATCCTGAGCCCCCCATAATGGTTGGTCGTGCTCTACTGGGGCTCCTCCTCGCCGTGTGAGCGTCAACTGCTTCGACAACATACCAACATCACCATGGCTGTCCCAAACAGAGGGCCTGAGCTGCTCGCAGTCAACATCGCCTTCACCACCACTGCGATCCTGGCTTGTGCATTGAGGATATTTGTTCGTGTCAAAATGGTCAAGGCATTTGGCCGAGATGACTGGTTAATGGTCTTCGCAACAGTAAGTGTGGACTGACCAAATAACTGGGGCACGGCCTGACTAGATGTTCAGCTCTTCTTCATCTCTTACTCAACTTCGTCTTGCATCGGTATACACTATGGAACCGGACGCCACCACCACGATCTGTCTACCGACGGCATACAGAAGGCAAGGCATGCCTGGTATTTTTGCTATCTGTTCTACTCCGTAGCCATGATATGCGCGAAGATTTCTATCGGGTTCCTTCTCCTACGGATTAGTATTCGTAAAATCCATACATGGTGAGTAAATCCACATGCAAGTCATGTTTGCGACCTGGACTAAGAACATCAGGATCATCTGGAGTGCAATGTGTGTCTCGGTCATCGCTGGAGGCGCCTTTTTCTTCGTTTGTCTGTTCCAGTGCTACCCGGTTTCTTACATGTGGGATCGCACTTCGCAACAAGGAAAGTGCGTTGACAACACTGTCATCTCCGCGCTTGGCTATGTCTACAGTGTGTTCAGCATCATCACCGACTTCACCTTCGCGATTATTCCTGGCTTCTTGGTATGGCATTTGCAGTTGAAGAGGAGGACTAAGGTCGCTTTGATTCCTTTGATCACCATGGGCTGCATTGCGAGTGCGGCGGTCATCGCGCGATTGCCATTCATCCACTACTTCAACGCACCTGACTTCCTGTGTATGTCTCCCCTTAACTACTGTCGTTACCAAGTACTAACTCTACTAGGGTCGACGACTGATATCGCTATCTGGTCATCGGTTGAACAAGGCCTTGCTATCACAGCTGGTAGCCTTGCGACTCTCCGCCCACTCTTCTTCATTGCCATGCACAAACTTGGACTCTCTACGCGCCCATCTGGCGCATATCGACCTTCCGCATACGGCATGTCTGCCCCTTTACCCGGTAACGCCGCCCCCGCTTCCAAAGCCGACAAACTCCGGCCCGACATGTACAAACTCTCAGCCACTGTGCAAACACGCACTTCCGACGACGAAATAACGCGAGATGCATCCTTCCCGAAATCGCCTAACTGGTTCGGTGGCACCGGCGCTCCTCCCAATTCAAAGAAGAGCACGCGCGTCGACAATTCAGACAACGATAGTCAAAGGAGTTTGAGGATCAAGAGCTCAAGGAGCAGTGAGGAGGATAATTTCCAGAACGGCATCTTGGTGTCAAAGTCATTCTACATTACGGATGAAGAGAGGGGATCGGTTCTGTCTGCACCATACAGATGATGAATTTCAGCAATCTACCCACAATCACTTTCCTCAAATCATCTCAACGAAGCCGTCTGGGGTTGCCCCTGATCCTGAAAGACGGACATTACGTCGTTGCGTTTCAGCTTTGATCAAGATTGCCGCATAGACAGAAGGTGTCTCAAGAAAGCAACACCAACACCATTTTCGCATATCCAAAGTGATGCGATCCCCCACATGTTCGCTTGCCCTTGTAACTGCGAACGAACATGACCGCCACGAGCGCCATGGCTTTGGATCTACGAAAGAAGCAAGACCTAGGCTACAAGACACACGGTTCATCCAGAGCCGAAAAAGGACACCGAAGACTCGTCTCGGTAATCGCAAACAATCTGGAATCCATCCGCCCCACAGCGGCTTGAGTCGCAAGCTATACTTGACTCGCTTGGTTGACCTTGGAATTTATCAGCATCAAGGCGCGAAACACAGGTGCATGATCACCACCATTTATGTTATACCCCATCCTTGTACATTACAAAAGCGACATGACAGTTTTTTATACCCCTGTATACATGAGCATATTCTACCTAATGAACAATGTAAAGATCCTAGCATACTCAAAGGCATGATGTGACAGATGATTATGGACAAGTCAGTAACTTGCTAGATGTCGACTGCCGTCCGGGCGAGTACCTTGGTGTGTGCTATTCCAAGTCCCCGCGATGACATCTCAGTGACACCAGACACTAGGATGCCGCAACCTTAAAAAGCATTGTATGCGAACGCGAACAACAAACTGCCGCAGTCTCGCAAGGCTTCAGAACGACACACAAGTAAACGTAAGCTAGCTAGCACCCATTGCACCTGCCTTTACGATCATCTCAACTACCCCTTTCACAACTGTAATCGCTTCACGATCATCAACGTCCAAACCACCAGCCCCAACATCTGATAATTCCAGCCAAGAGAACCCGCCGAACACCACCGACCGGTCAACGTCGCACCTATGCTCTACACAAACGCTAGATCGACGACTACATCCTTGCACCAATCGAGCGATCAACCGTTGAGGCTACCATACCAACAACCGACCATGCAAACCTTCTTTTCGCACCACGACACACCAACGGATTTGACCGATTAGTGATGTCGTCGAATAGCTCCGTCATGTTGATGAAAGGGAGATTTAGTGCGCTGTTTTGACCTGGTACGCTATCCGCTCCCATCATCACTCAACCACCGCCGTCCCGTCATCTAGTCTCCATACCACCTAGCACCCTCGTTTCGCTTGGGAACCGACGTCGTTTAACGTTTCTCCCTCTACCACCACCCGTGCATATTAGTCCCTCCTCCGATCCCATACATACATACTTCCGCCAATCGTATTCAGACGACGCAGACTCGGGGCGCAAAAGGCCCGATTTTGATCGCGATCTTGGTACGCTAGCATCGCCCGCTCTGCACCAGACCCAACGCTGAAGCCAGGCCCTTCCTTCCCGCTACATAATTCCAACTCCCGGCCAGAAGGTCCGTTTGGTACGCTAGGTTAAACCCGATTCCTGACTGAGCGGCAGTGAGCTAGCGTTGCTCCGGTCTTCTTCCAGCCTTTTTCGCCGCGCGGTGGCGGTGGGGGAAGATTTACGACGTACATGACCATGGGTTTCAGATGACAGATGCCTGGGAACCGCGGTTCATCTATATATGGGGCTGGTGATTTGGAAGCATCTGGGTTTTTTGTGGAGATTGGTGAGTGTGGCAGCCGGCTGGCGTGCATTTTAGCTTGATGACATGTTGGAGGCTAGCAGATCGGAGGACGATCATAAGAGTTAGATGGCTCCGGAATCTTGGACACATCGACGTGTTGCCCTTGTCGTTGATCGAAAATGTGGTAAATAGCATGGATGTTCTGGGCCTCTACAAGTGAAGATGAGTATACAGTATGCTGAGATAGCCGAGGTGGCGAGACGGCCGGCAAGCGAGATTGAATGTAGTCAAGACTTGGAGAGACGGTTCTGGACCACAGCTCCCACGAGGCTGAGGCGAGTAGGTATATCACATTGCATAGATTGCATTCCTTATCTGATTTCAAGTATATACAGAACTACTACTTCCTGTGCGAATAACGCCCGTTCACGTACAGCACGAGCAGTCATTGCAGCTCGAGTCACGGATAGTCGGCGGCACAGCACATGTCTTCTGAGGTGTGTACGGAAGCGTAGTCGTAGGCGGCGCTGGAGCATTGATTGTCGTTGCCTTGACCAGAACCGGGATAGCAGCTCCAGTCGCAAGACGGAACTCACGGTGACCGAGAACTACGTCGTCATTAGTAAAAAAAGTTATCACCAAACTAAGGAAGAGGAAGCTTACCCCGCAGCAGACTTCCAATCTCACCAGAGTGCGAGATAATGGAGATGTACGTGCTATCATCATTGCTGATGATATCGTCGAGCACAACCTTGGACCTCGCATCCTGGTTTGCGCGCGGCTCCGCGAAAAGCTCAGTCCAGTATGGGTCTTCCTCGGCAAACCCCTTCTCGAACTTGAAGCCGGGGAAGTTCTTCTTGATGTAAGACTTGCTATGACGGCGATCGCAAGTATGCGCACTGATACCCTCTCTCAGAAACTCCTTGACGACAGGCACAAAGGGGTTCTTGCGCGGAAGAGGCACACCCTCAAAGTTAAGCTTAGCAGTGTCGAGACAGCGGTGCAAAGGACTCGTATAGAAAGTCTCGGGCGGAGATATCTTTTCGTCCTTGATGAGATGTTTCCAGAAGGTATTTACAACTTTGGCTTGCTCGATACCGGGTTCTGTGAGCTGCGCATCAGCCCACGTGACGGTGCCGTTGCCGTCTAACTCGGACCAGTAGCAGTTCCACGCTGGGGTGCCAAAGTAGGACTCAGCGGCGTTGTGGAAGCCTTCACCGTGGCGGCCCATGAAGAAGAGGGTGTAGCGCTCATTGCGCGGTGCCTTCTTGTTCAAGGTGGAGAGGTAGTGGGCGAGACGCTGCCATTGGGTTGCGTGCTTGCGATTTGGGTAGGAAGAGTCGCTTGGGTAGGTTCGGTTAATTAGACCAAAGTTGCTGCTCAGGAAATCGAAGGTCGAAGGGTCGGTGGTGTTGTCGTCTTGTTGGAAGATACCGGTCACGACAGTGTAGTTGATAGTCTTCGCGTGATGATACGCGTTGACCGAAGAGGCCGCGGCCAGAAGACCGTAGAGAAGCGATGGCGCAAGCATGTTGGGCAGATCAAGTATTAGATTATTGCAAGGAAATTCAACGCTTGTCAAGTGGGAGAACATTGGTTCATGGCGTTTATTTAAGACATGCGTGTTGTCGGATGTCTTTGCGCCGGCTGTACAACGGTGAACATGGGGAAGAGCCGTTTATATTGCTGGTAACCAATCATTAGCAAACGTGATTCGGCAGCATTGCCTGACGGGGTCTGGCGCATGCGGAAGGAAGTCGACCTTCCTGTCGCGTCGGTGGCCAAGGACGTCTTGCGATGGGCCGATGAAGATCAAAAGCGTGGTGGAGACGAAGCGTGGTGTATGGTATGGCCGTGATTGGGAGGAAAAACTCATTCGACGTGCTCACGATGCTGCACATGGAGAACTTGTGGTCCACGAACCCGGTTTCCGGTGCTGTCAAACCTCTTGGGGAACGTATTGACTGGAATAAGTGAAGCTGCTTCTGACATCCATGGAAGCCATATGGAGGAGCTTGATTCCGAAGAAGTACAATGGGAAATTGGATATGTGGTATCCGACCACTTCGGTGCTTATGTTAGATTGCGACAAGAGATGGCATCTCGCTGTCGGACACGGTTAACCCAAAAGGATTGAGTGAGCATGTCTAGTGCACATGCAGTCAAGATATCAGGACCGAGACGGCCGCGATGTCGGTGTTGGAAGTGAAAGGTCGCCCACGTGCAAGAGGTACCTGCCAAGGCCATCGGCTGTAGCTGCCCTGGCCCCAGCCGCGGCTCCACAAAAAATGTTGAAGCTGTCGCGAAGAGCATTCTCAACTGCACAGCATCCTTAGCCCAAAGATGTTCGAGAACTTGTGCGCGCTCCCAGTGGAGCACGATATTTTTGTGCAAGCGATACATCCAGAAGAGCCCGTTATATCTGTAGGCTTGGCTAGCGGCCATGTCCAGACTTTCAGGCTGCCTTCTGACGCGACCGACGACGACGACGATGACACGGCGCCAGCCTCGGAGAAAGGCTTTGGTACCATAGACAATGTCTGGCGCACACGGCGACACAAGGGAAGCTGTCGAACACTCGGATACAGCGTTGATGGTACGTCGCTGTACTCGGCAGGAACAGATGGCATCGTCAAGGTCGCAGACTCCATGACCGGCCAGGTCACTGCGAAGATTGCTGTACCGCTAGATCCGTGAGTAGCGACATTGCAAGAATCACGTGAGTATCATTAACACTTCACAGCGCCAATGGTGGCATCGATGCGCCTACGCTCGTCTACGCCCTTTCTCCGCAATCGCTCATCCTCACAACCGACTCCGGCGCACTGCACATCTACGACATTAGGAACCTCAAGGGTGGCGAAAAGGTCTCCCTGAAGCCCGAAAACTCACACCGTCCGCACGATGACTACGTCTCCTCCCTCACACCTCTACCACCCACGCAAGCGAGTACCAGTGGCTTCAGCAAGCAATGGGTCACAACAGGTGGCAGCACACTGGCAGTCACCGATCTGCGGAGAGGAGTCATGGTTCGCAGTGAGGACCAAGAGGAGGAGCTGCTTTGTTCCACCATTGTCACCGGGCTACCAAAGAAGGGCTCGAGTGTAGGTGAGAAGGTCATAGTAGGTGCAGGCGACGGTGTTCTCACACTGTGGGAGCGCGGAGTATGGGACGACCAAGACGAGCGCATCATCGTCGACCGCTCCAAGGGAGGCGGCGAGAGTCTGGATTCCATCACTGTCGTACCAGACGGTGTTGGACCCGGCGGCAAGCACATCGCAGTAGGCTTGGGCAACGGAGACATTCGATTTGCTAAGCTCGGCCCGAATAAGATTGTCTCGGAGCTCAAGCATGACGAGCTGGCCAAGGAGAGCGTCATTGGTCTCGGCTTCGACGTTACTGGTCGCATGATAAGCAGCGGTGGAAAGACCGTCAAAGTGTGGGGAGAGAAGACCTGGCAGGACGTTGATGAAGATGATGAAGATGATGAGGAGCCTGCCAATGGCAAGCGAGACCACGAGAGCGAGGATGATGGTGATAGCGACGAGGATATGGATGATAGCAGCGAAGAGGACGAGCCAAAGCAGAAGCGCAAGAAGAGAAAGAAGAACAAGGGCGGGCAGGCCCCGGGTCATGGCATCACTCAGTTTCTTGGACTTGCGGACTGAAGCAGCCGTATCGGGTGTTGTTAACGACAGCGAAGTAATGTATAAACCATTCCCAAACATTTGATGTCGCCAGCTCCTGCCTATTCATAATGGCCCCCACTCCGAGTCGGGCCTAGGCCCGACTGTCGTACCTGCTGAAACTGCGACCTCACTTCCCACCTCAGTTCCAGCATCACCACTACAACAATATGGCTAGTTATAAAAAGTCCTATTCACATATCGAGCATGCTTCGACTTGTCCATGCGCAACGAATGCGCAAGGTGCAGTGCTTCCGCCCAGCTCAGTACGCCGGTATCGCTTACTAACTCGTGATGTGTCAGATGACTGCAACTGCTTCTACTCTGCTCTCTCCAAGACGGCTGTATTCCAGCCCGCTACGCTCGAAGGCCCCGCCGGTGTTGACGGCCGGCTAGATGAGATTGCACAAACGCATGTCAGAGATTTTGTGGCGGAGAAGAGGTCTCAGGGGGGCGAGCGACCTAATGTGCCCCCGTCGAAGCTTTATCAACCGCTCATAGACGGCGAAATACGCGTCTTGGAGTTATATGCAGGAGAACCCGGAAGTCCACTTAAAGGAGCTCTACACACAGTTAGCATCGACTTCTCGCATCCTGCAAGAGAGGAGCAATATACTCAGCCTTTCGACAATCCAGCAAACACAAGCAGGAGAACCTTGACCTTCACGAGGCATACCAACCATGCCGTTTCGCTTGTTACAGGGGGACCTGTGTGGTTTACCGCACTGAGCTATGTCTGGGGCGCACCCGTCTTTGACCACACAGTAGCGTTCGAGCATGGTGAGTTGAAGATTACAGCAACCCTCGCAGGGGCCTTGGAACACATGCGCTCCACTCAGCATAGTGTGGTCATGTGGGCGGACCAGATCTGCATCAACCAGGAAGACAAGGCAGAGAAGGTGCAACAGATCCCACTCATGGGGATGATATACACACATGCGACGGAAACCCTTATATGGCTCGGCGACGAAAACGGAGAGGACCCGGCCCTCGCATTAGACTTGATGGAAACCGTCTACGTGCGTCTGCAAGGGACCGATGCGCAAGTAACGCCCGCCGACTTTTCGAGGCTGGACTTTCCACCCAGCGATGACCGAGCATGGTGGGCAGTCCGCCAATTCCTCCGGCGACCCTGGTTTGGCAGGCTGTGGACCATTCAAGAAGCTGTTCTTTCAAGAAACCTGTTTGTAAAATGCGGCAAGGCAGAGGTCTGCTGGGATGACTTTGCAGCGTGGTGTTACGACTTGAGAGAAACCCACATTCTCAGCTGGCTAACAGCAGATGTTGTGCTGAAGGAGAAATACGGCGAGGTTACCAATGCTTGGACGCTGCCACCACAAGGGGCGACGGTAGTCAATTCGATACAGGCTGATCGCCTGCACGGCTTGACACTTGTCCAAAAAGAAGCCTTACTGACTATCCTGGAGTCTACGCGGTATGCTCAGGCGACCGAGCCGAAAGACAAGATTTACGGCGTACTGGGTATAGCAGATTCGACCGTCGTACCGGATTATAAAGGATCCACCAGAGAGGTATACCACAACGCCTGCCTGACGGAGATTCCGCTGCGTATATACGAGCTGCTGAGCTGCGTCGACCACGAGGAGCCGCTTCGGCCATCATGGGTACCAGATTGGAGCGCACCTCGTGTGACAAAAGCCCTGGGCTACTTGACAAAGTCTTGGGCTCTATATTGTGCGGGCGGTAGACCCGTCACAGGCGCGCAGCTACCCAAAGTGGTCTTGAGCGATGACAAACGCGAGATCACGCTCTGTGGTAAGGTCGTCGATACAATTGCCATCATAGGCAATGTTAGCAACGACCCTTTCCTTGATATCACCAATCCGCCGCTGAGCAACAGTGATTTGAGATCCTACGCGGAGCTGGTCATGGGTGCAGGTCGAACACAGACCTACCTCCTACTAGGCACTTCAACCTACGAGGCCTTTCTACACACACTACTGGCAGGACGCGATGGCACAGGCGTCTTAGCTCCCTCCGCGGATCACAGCGAGGTCTTTGGCTTAATTCTCGATGCCACGACAGGAAAATCTCTCTCCCTTCCCGGCCAGACTATGAGCATCCGGCGGCAGAAAGGCTACTTCAACCTCGACAGTCTCAAGACGAGGAAGCCAGCCAAGATCTTGGAAGACTTGAATACGGCGCTCCGGGCCGCCTTAGAGATGCGGCGATTTGCTGTAACCGAGAAGGGCTACTTTGCGCTAGTGCCGAGAGGTGTGCAAGTCGGTGATAAGGTCGCTGTATTCGATCGAGCATGTGTACCTTTTGTGATGAGGCAGATCCAAGTTGAAGGGGATGGCAAGAAGTTCGAGCTTTTGGGCGAAGCATACGTTCATGGTGTCATGAAGGGGGAAGTAATGGCTATGGAGGATATCGAACTTCAGGATATCACGCTTCTCTGAGTGCATCACATGTGGTCTACCATCTCGACAGACACCCACACATCGCGATCCGGTCGGCACTTCTACACTAGCGGCAATGCGTCAACCAGGACGTGAGCAAGCCTCTTCATATGAGGCGGCACTCTATCCCCGGGTATCTTGGCATTTTTCGACCCTGCAATTTACACACGGCTAAGCCATTGGCTAAAGTCAAGCTCGCTTAAGCCCTTCGAAGAACATTCGACACGTCTTAATACATTGCTTAATCTAATCGCGTTGCAATTACAGCGATGCGGCCTGGCTGATCCGGGTTTTGGAAAGTATAGCGCCGGGTGGTAGCACGTGGTTGGGGTGTGTGAAGTGGTGGCACGGTATGCAGTTGGTGGACACGAAGGAAATGCTCCGTTGCCTGGGGTAGTGAAGTGGAACTTGTACGCATTCGGAAACATCGATGCGACATCATCGGGCATGTAATATATCTGCAAACCTTGGGTTTGAGTCCGAGGCTTGGGTGGTGGCGTGGAGAAGTTAGTTATAAGCAACGCGAATGACATGAACATCACAGCATCGAGCTCAACACCAGCACTCCAGCCAAAGTAACATCAACCTTTACAATGAAGCTCTCTACATCGCTCGTTCTCGCTGCAGCAGCTACTTCAACATCCGCACACACCATCTTCCTCAGTGTCAATGGCGGCGCAGTAGGAGACGGTGTCCGCGTCCCCACATACGACGGTGTAAATCTCTTGCTCCCCCAAGACCCGTTGCTCTCCATCTAACCCTTTCGCAGCCCATAAACGACGTTTCCTCGAACGACATAGTCTGCAACGGCGGCCCAAACCCCACCGCGAAAACCTCCACCGTCATCACCCTACAAGCCGGCAGCACCGCGAAACTAACATGGCGCCACACCCTGACCTCCGGTCCTAGCGACGTCATCGATTCAAGCCACAAGGGACCCGTCATGGCCTACATGAAGAAAGTCAGCGACGCAAAGACCGATTCCGGTATCGGCGGAGGCTGGTTCAAGATCAGCGAGGACGCCTTTGACGGCTCGAAATGGGGCGTTGACCGGTTGATTGCGAACCAGGGCGTGCAGACGGTTACGATTCCCAAGTGCATTGCTCCGGGACAGTATCTGCTAAGGGGCGAACTGATTGCGCTGCATTCGGCCAGTTCGAGCATGGGCGCGCAGTTTTATATGGAGTGTGCGCAGATTAATGTTACGGGTGGGGAGGCGAGTAAGACGCCGGCGACGGTTTCTTTCCCCGGTGCGTATAAGCAGAATGATGCAGGGATTTTGTACAACTTGTACACTGGGAGCAAGACGTACACGAGTCCTGGACCGGCTGTTTTCAAGTGCTAGATGATGTGGTGGGAGGAAGATATTTGATTGTAAATAGCTCGTAGCTTCTAACATAGGATATCTTACACCAACTCCAATGTCCATCTTTCCCAATCTGCAGTTTTGATCTTGTGGATCAAGTTGTCTCGATCCCCACGACTTTGCATATCTGCTACCCCGACCCGCTGCGCAACTTTCGCCTCCTGATCAACCCAGCTAAGTAGTAGGACATCCATGCAGCTAAGTGGGTAGCTGAGACCGTCCTCCCATTTCTCCTTCTTGTGGAACAGATTCCCGTTCAAGAACATACAGCAATCATAAGGCGCCGACATGTCCAGTCGCTCTCTGTCGAGTTTGATTTGAACACCGGGGAAACCACCGAAGTCATTCCCGTAGAGATCTCTCATCAGGCAATCGAAATCAGCGCTCATAAGACATGCGCCCTCGATGGTGATGTAGGAGCCTTCTTGGACCGCACCGTAGATATTGCGCTCGTCTTGCAATATCATGTGCTGATCAATAAGCTTAGGATCGAATCTCTTGGCATGAATTTGCTCCGCATCATCGATAGATGTTTGTGGGATCCAAATTGCACAACGTACTTCACCTTCCAGACCGGCCCAAGTCCAGGTAGGGGCTGTGTATATGGGTGGTGAACGGAGTCTGTAGTAATGGCTCTTCCAGTTCAAGGCGTCTGCTAGGCACACGCTCCAGATCCCTGCCCAATATGTTCCAAGTTCGCCACTTTGATTCAACATTTTTGCGACGCCAGCGATGGCGTGAAGTTTATCGATTGGTACTGTTAAGGAGCGGGATGAGAATTCCCTGACACATCGATTCCATGCTCTGATTTTATCCCAGAACACGGCTTCAGATCCGCATTCTGATATCTCTTGCGTGTTGTGATCATTGTGGCGAGGTAAATTGTTTTCTTGACTTAAGGCCTCAGTGACAAAGCGTTGGCACTGCGGCTTTGAATATCCGGCACCGTGGATCTGACGATGTACCTCTTTGTCTGAAGCTTCACACCAAAATGCCTGAGCGCATTCCCACCACATCTGCCGTGTCGTGTAGTGTAATATACGAGGTGCTAGTATTCTCTCTTGTGCAGCCCACCCGCGTGTAGCCAGGACTGACCCGTTGATCTCGCCGTCCGATTGGAGACCCTTCTCGCATAAGCAATAGCTTTGTTCTTTACCCATCATGGGCGAGCAAAGTACATTCCGAGCGTTCAAGATTCCTTTGCTGCTATCCTCAGCAGCAGTTGCGGATATCATGAGAGCCGACAACCCATAATAAGAAGCCATTTTCCCTGACTCTTGAGCCCAGTCTTCACCATTGTCTTGAATGATACACAGTGCATCTATCCACAGGTATCGAAAGTGTAACCGCCGCGTGATCTCGATCGCGTCCCTGAAGCTTTTTGGAAGCAGCTCAAGTTTGATGGCCTCTTGGAATTGAGCCAACAGTGCGTTGGTGAGCTTCGTCGGTCCTTTGCTACCCCAACAGTGAGACAAGACTACGTATCGACCCAACGCATCATTGCTTGTTCGCAGTGTAGGTGATATAGAAGGATCGGCTGAAATTTCGATAACCCGCTTTGGAAGTGCAACTGGAACTGACTGAGAGCAGCGAGCGTGCAATTTGCACTGGCTGATCCATTGAACGATCAGGTCGAAGCAGCTGCTTCCACGCGGGTCGGGATGTACTGGTCTCATTACTCTCGTATGCCAGTTGTGGTAGTTGTTGTAGATGTTGAGCTCTAGATGGTCTCGAATCAGTAATTGAATCGTTTTCAATCGCACTGCAACACACGTTTTGGTTCTTCTCGGTAGCAACATTCTAGGGTCTGATCATAGCCATCGTGATCAGGTCCATCTCCGGCTTCGAAAGATGCTCTCGCGAACAAACCCCAACCGTCTTCGACAACAATTTGGCCTGACAATTCCGACACGCGATCACGCCAGCGAGAGGAGCTTCGAAGCATGGCACAAAAGAATGCGCAGCCACCACAGCCAACCCGATCTGGTCCGAGACTCTGAGATTTGAGCAGTAGCTCGTCATAAAGACCAAGGATTCGTCGTTTTTTGGGGGGGGGGGGGGGGTGGGGGCAGTGGG